TAGTGATTATGCTGGTAAAGAGAGGTTTAATTTTAATTTTGTTTTGCTCCTGAACTCTAGTGGAGTACAAACATAAGACAGATACTAATTACCTCAAAATTGAACTTAAATATAGTTCTCGAGTAACTGTACTTAGTTACTTTCCACCAGTGATTCCTACCTATAACGTTACTGGTAACTGATATCTAGTTTACAAAAACATGTATATACAACGTAGCTGCCAAAGATAAAATAAAACTTCAATATAGTTTTGAAAACTGGAAAGTCAGTTTAAGCTCAGGCTCAGTGGTTTCTCCTGTCCGTCTAGTACCAACTTGGCAAAAAGCTGCTAATACCATGCTTAATGTGTACCAATCCTATGTTTTTCTACATCACATTCATCCACATCTTGAATTCTGCTTTGGGTAGACTTAGTCATGGAGTTTTGGCGTAAGTTAATCATGCATATCAGATCACAACTAGCCCCGAAAGACAACAAAACGTGTGCATGGCGAAATGTAGAATCAGTGTGTCCAGACCGTGAACGCCAAGAGGCCCACAGCGCTAACAGCCAAACTTTAGCTTAGCTAATATTAGCAACTAGCTAACGTTAATTTTAGGCAGTGATAACGCCAGCGATATCTTTCGACGATGCAGCTGACTAAAAGATAAAATTGCCCTAGACTTACGTTAACATAGTTTTGTGAGCCAGTGAATCGTCTCGTACCTCACCAAAACAGAGTTTAACAAGATGACGATGGCCAAACCAGAAATGAATTTGAATTAGCTAAAGTAAGCTAGCTAGCTGGTTAGCTTCAGTAGCAAGTTAGCTACTTACATTTCTTGAGCCACTTGATCCAGTAACGAACGATAAGGCCGTGATGCTTCTTGTTTTCAATGCACCAGGTTGAAAGCCCCTGTATTGACTCCATAGTGTTGGATACTCCTTGAAATCGTCGGTCCAAAGATGATTCTAGAGCAGCGGTTGAGCTGCGGGCTCCATGGCCACTTGCAGCACCAGAACCGGCCGCCATCTTTCCAAACTCACTCTGCGTATGGGGATGAAAGCGCTAACGTAATGAGAATGACTAGAAGGAAAAACACGCCCCCGTCTATTACTTTATTATAAAGACATAACTGTATTTACTCACAGTACAAAACGCAGAATAAAAATACATAATCACTGATATTCAACGTTAGTGTGGGCTAACGTTAAATATCAAAGGAGATGACTGCAATTACAGGATAAACGGAGACAAGTCGGTTGAATGTTGTTTATTTAAGGCTGTGACTGCAAGGTTACAGAGAAATTTAGCTACAAGCGAGTCAAAGCTTTGCTCATTTCACCAAAAGAAAAAAAAAGTGTTTTTTAAACTAACTGTTGAGAATATTACCTGTAATGACTTCCAGGTTTATTCTAAATGTGTAGTGCCCTGAAGGTTCGGCTTTTATTAACTGCTTGACTCAAACAGGGATTATCATCACTGTGCATGGATATCATTACAAAACCTAAGTCATAATATAATCTGACAATTAATCGCCATCACGTAAAGCCTTGGGTAACTCATTTACATCACACAGTGTAGTCTGTCAAATTGTATTCAATAACAGATAATACCACACAGAAGAACCTACAATTTAGGAGATGAACACTGATGCAGGAATACACACGCATACTGTCCTACACACACAATGCTCTTTCACACATTCTCACAAAAACATCCACACATTTATTGTTCCTCCTTTTTATGTTCAGATCTCTTGATTATGTTTGTCTGTCCCCAACTGAACGTAGCCAGTGAGGTCGGTGGGCTGTGAGGCGTGTTCTGGAGTCTTATAGGAGGGCAAGAGCGCTGACTGAAACTACAAGCAGGTTTCAGTCATCTGTGCCATCCAGGACACTATGGCTGAGAGCTAGGTCCCAGTAGTGTTCTGTGCCATGTTTCTTGAAGTGTTCTCTGGCCATGCTCTCTGTGGGGCACTGCTTGAACTTCATGTCCCCAAAACTGTGCTCTTTAGCTGTTCCCTGGAGGACCAATAGGAACTGTTAGACTTGAATAAGACCACCACCAAAAAGATAATCCAAATTAACTTCCAAATACTGAAGTAATACAACCAGATATAAGCATGCAATAGAAGTCACAGTGTGTGCAAACACTCACCTCCCAAATCAACCAACATTTGTTGTTTCTCTTTGTATCATCATCACCATCTGGATCTGATTAATAATTGATGATAGAGAGGTTAGTATTCTTGAAACAAGCACAAACATGACACTTTGCACAAAGACTCGAATGTCACCTCACTCTTACCATCTCTCTTACTGTTGTGTTCCTCCCATTTGATTCTGTGCATCATCAACCTCTTGAACTTCTTCTGGGATTTGGGGCCTAAACCAGAATATAAGATAGAAACAAAATGCATAAGTTACATTGTCCTGACTTACATTTCTCATCGGGTACCTGAGAAATGGTAGTCTTTTAGAAACTTATGTATATGCACTTGTGCAATTTTTTAACGAGAACCATTGTCACTTGGTCTTTCACAATGTCTTCACACCATTGAGGCAAAGCCACCATACAGTTATTCACACATCAGTGACCACCAGGACAAACTTTGGATTCATGGTCTTGGTCAAGAACACTTCGAAATGTGGACTGCAGAAGCCAGGAATTGAACCACCAACCCCTACGGTTGGGGGATGACCCGCTCCACCTCCTAAGCCACAGTCGCCCATTTAAAAAAGTTATTTTTATGTTATTTTACAATTAGGAAATTGATGCAGAAAAAATGCTGTAGCATGTGCATTCAAAGTTAAAAGGGCAGATTTCTCATGCCCCCCACCCATCACCCTTTCCTTGGTACCTACTAATCTTCTTTGAGAGTCAATTCAGTCATGTATTCCAAAACTGTGATGTCAGTCTAAAACTCCTTTCTAATTTAATGTTCTCCATTCTCGTACAGTTTCAGTACAGTGTAACTGTTTGTTTGAATATGACTGAGAATTTAACAAATGCAAATCTAACAGAATAAACTGATAAAACCAGGTTGTGGAAGGTTTGGATGGTACATCTTGGGGAATAAATCACATAGCAGGCAAAATTTTAACATATGAGGAAGATTTACGGGAATAAAGGTAGTACAATGTCTGGAAAAAATGGTTGTGAAATGTGTTTTAAGCCCATATGGATACAATTTCTGCTGAAAAGGATGAGTCTATTCATTTACTAAGATAAATTTTTCATTTTTATTATTAAAATCTCACTTTTCAAGTAATCAAGAATATTAATTAATGACTGGCATTTAATACCAACACCAGAGCATACAAAGAGTGCAACATAAAAAATAGAATCACTTTCATGCAAACTTTTCTGTATGCATTTCTCCCTTACCTCCCTCCACAACAACAAGGTTGACGTCTCTGTGCAGAACTACTGTGCCTGTCAGGTACAGCTGGTTGGCATTGGCCTCAACCTTAAACTTCTTAGCAGGATTTTGTAGGTTACGGATCCTGTACAGGGAGAGTAAGAGGCTTAAATGAGACACACTTCAGTGTTGGGACACACATGCTGCACCTGATATTTGAACTACAATATGTGCACTCTCCCTATAAACACAAACACACACACCTGTACACTGCAATGTGAACACCGTCAGTGAGGTCTTCTTTTAACTTCTTGACTTTCTTCTCTTTCCTCTGCTCTGCTGTGAGTTTACGAGCTGCGTTGGCCTCTTCGTGCGCCCTGCGGGGAGGGGTACACAATTAGAACATTTTTTGAATAAGATTTTGTTCTCCATGGATTATGTCACATTAGGATAACTGGGAAAATTGAATTGTGTTACTAACTTCTGTCTCTTGGCCATCTGCGCTCTGACATGGGCTTCCACCTTCGTAGGGTCCTGAACCGCCTCCGTCCCCAGAACTCTCATCAGGTTGGAGATTCGTACTGAGTAAAAACAGAAACAAAACTCAGCTACATTCAATTTAATTTAGCAATGTAGTAATTTGGTAATCATTGTAATTTGTGTGTGCGTACCTTTGGGTTCTGGTGGAGGCATCAGTCCCAGACGGACTTTCTCTTGCAGTTCTTTTTGGGACTCCCTTCTCATCTGTCTTCTCAGTTTCTTCTGTTCTTTCTTTGTCAGGTATACACCCAGCGTTACTGGCTTGTCTGTGTCAACTGAGATTAAAAAACAGTCCATATAGTAACCAAGCAAATTATTATAGTACAAATACAAGAATTTAACATAGAGTTTGTAATAGCTTGTAGAAAAGGGAGTAGAAAAGTTAGAGCAAAAATGACAAAACTTCTAATGTAGCCTGTGGAGAACTTTCCCCCAATCCATGGATTTCCTCCTACACCTATACCTAACCTCCATATGTTTGTAATAAGCATGCACAGCTGGTATTCAATCCACACCAGGAAATGGAATTACCTCTATGTTTCCTGTAAATGCAATTTTATATTCTGGTTCCTTTGAAAGTAGGTTGTTTTTTTTTTTTTTTAATAAACCCAGGGTTTCTTTTGAAAGTGATTATTAATGTACTGTAAGTCAAAGAGTAAAGTAAATATAACAGTCAGGAAAAGTCATTTACATGAGGAAATATATATTTTAGTCTTTCGATTCAAAATGTTTCTATAATTAACTATAATACTTACATTAAACTCACTGCACATTAGCAGGCAATGAATGTACTTCTACCAACAAACACATTTTGGAAGCAGCTTTAAAAGTATGCATCTTTTATTTTTTAATCTTTCAATACCCTTACCTGGAGGACACATTTGGGCAGGATGTTCTACCAGGTTGGTGACACCAAATAACTCCAGGGATTCAAATTTAGTGTCTGGCATTCTTCATAAAATAAAAGCATACATGTCAGGTTATTTCCACAAGTTGACTGTGTATAATCATAGTGCATCCACAAACCAATTCAAAAACAACAACATTGATCAACTTTGCACATTGCATTACTATATGCAAGTACTGTATGTTGGTAAAGACCATGCTAGGTATTTGACAGCTTTGTCACAACAGTAGGACAAAAGGCAGTGTTAACATTTAACCTAACATCATATTCAGGATTTAAGGTTTAGGGTTAACAGTAGTGTATTACATTTCTACGTTGGAGGGCAGGATGTACAAGTCCCACCACTCAATGTTAGGCACCTCGCCTTCTCCAATCTCTTTCTTGGGGGCAATCAGTGCCAACTTAGTGGATGCCTGGATTCCTGTCTTCTTTGCTGCCTGGGCAATCTCATTCTGCAACCTTTCCAACTGGGCCTGATTGAGGTAAAGATCAACGCAGGAGGGAATAAATACCAGATGTTGTGAACCATGTCTTAACAGGTATTCTATTCTAAATCACCAGGCTGTGGCATCTGCTGACAAAGAACATTGTATGTGTTAAGTCTAACCTTAGTTCTAACTCTCTGAGCAATCTTTTCAAAGCGCCCTGGTTCATGGAATTTGAAGCTCCTGCGAGGACGCTGAGCTTGTGTAATAGACACACGTTGGTCGAAGTAGGACGTGGACTCCAATTCTTCCCCAGGCTTCTCCTTCAGCTGCTGACGGAACTGCTCCCTTTTAACTGCTCGAATGTTAGCTAAACATAGAGAGGAAAATGAGTTGAGGAACAATAAAACAACATAAGATTGTATTCATGTAGGTAGTGGACTATTGTACACATACCTTTCAGTGTGGGCATGCGATGTGTGAGTTCAACCTCTTTGCCACTCGCATCCACAGTTCTTCCCTTCTCATCCAGGATAAGAGGTGTTGGCTTATTCACTTCTTTAGCTTCTACTTTCCTACAAAGGGAGAGAAAGTGAAAGCAGACTATTTTCAAATTACAGCATAAGTGAATATACATCATCACCACCCATGTATTTTCCCTTTTTTGATTTTAAAATCCTATTTCCTGTGACAATTACTCACGGTGGAGCAATTCCCATGGCGTGTAGATTTGCTAGTGCAACGAGGTTGTGAGGCCCAGTGTTCCCCAAGGCTCCGAGGATACCAGGTTTCATGGCTAACTGGGACTGGATGCGTGCTTGTAGCTCAGCAGCCTTGCGGGCTTTCTCGATAGCATCATTCATAAAGCTGGCAGCCTGGGAGGGGGCAAAAGCAGCTGCACTGGAAGAGCGCCGAAGCCACGACCAGGGAGCCCAGAAGCCGTGACAATGGAGTGGCATCTAGTTGTGACTGTGATGTAGGAAGCGGCAACCGCTAACATCAAGAGGAAATAAGAACGGTTATATTATATAATGCCAAAAATTACAGATTAAAAATTAAAAAATTAAAATTAAAGACTTTAAGGTTTTCATTTTAAAAAAGTAATTATATTACTGGGGTGGTAGGATGTGAGGTAAAGCTCAGCTGTTTCTTCCTCTCTTCTATTTGTTTTGTTGCTGCCTCCATCATCTGTTTGATCTATTAATACAGAGGAAGAGTTAGGAAATGCGCAACAAAAATCTGAAAACAATTAACTCAATGGCAAAATAATTATACGGTGTATGTCTGTTGTATCAACAAGTAAACAATTATCCTGTACCTGCGTTTTGGTGAGCATGCTAGGGTTCTCAGAGGGAGGTACTGGTTGGACCTCAGGCTCCTCCACCTCCTCGAAGCGAGGGACCCGTTTCCGCTTTGCTACTGTCCCATCTACTGCCTCGGGAATTTCCCGCATTGCAGCTGTTTCAGTCTCATCACCAAACACATCCTGAGACCAACCAGGCAAAACAGAAAAACCAGTAAAATTAGATACCTGAATAGCCTATTGGGTTGTATCATTTAGTTTTATCCTAATTAATTTAGTTTTCATATTCTATTTACTCTATATTTATTCTACTTTTATTCTATTTTAGTTTCTTAAATGGTATGGACATTCAATATTAGGTGAGAGGGAAACGGTATTTCGACTTTTCTGTATGTCCTGCAAATATAGTGAATTGACAACAAAAATTTTTTTATCATCAATCTTGAATAATTACATATCATCATTAACCCAAACACAGGAGTGCTTACACTTGGTATGCTTTTGTTTATCTGTAATCTGGTTTCAGAAACCTCCATGTAAACCTGAAATCCAGTGTCCATTTGGTGGTTAAAGTCTAGGAACATCCGAAAGACAATAATATTTATGGAGGGGATAAAACCAGGGGTCTGATTACTCACACCTTATATAAACCGAATTTTACGTTTAGTAATCTGATTAATTTAATGTCTGCCATAATGGCAGGCTCTCACGTTCTGACTTTACATGATCAATTTGTATGTGAGCATGTTAGTGTAGCCAGTGAAATTTTGGCCATGAAATGTATCAGCTTTAGATGTTATTACTTAGCTATACAGTGACTAATAAGTAAAAAGTACCTTTAGGTCTCTCTTGCGATTCTTTTCTCCTGTGCCTTTGTTGCCACGGGCACTGCGGCTCTCCTCCAACGCTTCAAAAAGACGTTCCACAAAACCTCCAGCAGAGTCATCAAGGAATGGACGCAACTGGTCTGAGGGCAAATCATCAATAATAAGCAGAAATCTTTATTTCTTTTATCAGCATCACAATTAAATAAACAAAATGGTGCTTTTACATGCACAATAAACCTCAACATGATTAATGTGAATATTATGATTAAGCTAAATTAAGAACAAATTTGGAAGCCAGTGCAATCAGTTGAATCCAGATGCATTTGCAATGCACTGCAGCAGATAGCAG